AACAATGGATTACCGCAGGAGAACCAGCCCCAAAGAAGGCAAAGACAGTAAAGTCAGCTGGCAAGATTATGGCCACGGATTTCTGGGATGTGTATGGAATCATCTACATCGCCTACTTGGAAAAGAGCCAGACGATCACTGGACAATATTATGCGTCATTATTAGGTTAGCTGAAAGAAAAAATGAGAGAAAAACATCCTCACTTGAACAAAAAAAAGCCTCTTTCTTCAAGACAATGCTCGAGTTCACACGTGTGAACTCGGGTTTCGATGGCAAAAATTAACGATTTAAAGTTCGAATTAATTGACCATCCACCATATTCGCCTGATTTGTCTCCCAGTGACTTTTTCTTATTTCCTAACCTCAAAAAATGGCTTGCCGTACAACGATTCACGACGAATGAAGAAGTTATGACCGAAACAAATGCCTATTTTGAGGGTTTTCAAAAATCATATTTTTCTGATGGCTTAGAAAAACTGGAAGGCCGTTTAATAAAATATATCGACCTTCAAGGAGATTATGTTGAAAAATAAAAAAAAATTACATACGCAAATCCTTTTTTTCCTTCTTTTTGTAAAGACTTATTGACCCCCCTCGTATCTACCTAATCTTCGCTCGCAGTAAGAACTTGTATTTCGTTCAATTTATCTCTTGCTTATTTTTACGCTTTCACGTACGTTTTTAGCCAAGTAAACCATTTGTGCTGCAGCACTGGTTAATCTAGTTATAGATAGAGAATAGCTTTGCATCTACGAATAATTTATTATCGGAGTCAAATAATTTATATATTTATTTGATTAATCGTTACAATCTACATATGCATATACAGGGTGTCCAATAAATCTGGAAATAGCTAAATAACTTTCCAGGTGATTTATTTTAAAAATATGTCAAGGTTAGATTTGAAGTAATTTTCAACAAGAAAATCAACGGTTTTTTCAAGGTTAATTTTTTGAAATGGAAAGCGCCTTTTTTGACATCAGCAATCAAAATAGTGGGAAAATTTACGATCAAAACCATTGAGGTAAAAAATTTCCCGTTGATCATGAAGGTCATTTAAATGTCATTCAGTTGTGAGGCCTCTCAGAACAACTGATTGATGGAAATAGACCAAAGCTTGCTTTAGTTGTTTTGTTTGATTGCATTAGTGGTGACCTCAACCTCCTTCTTGTTTGTATCCTGCAAGGTCATTTCAAGGTCAAAGTTTTTTTTTATGTCTTCCTCATCTAATATCGGCAATTGAAAGAGAAGAAGTTTCCATACTTTTATTTTTAGCATTACCAAGGAACAACTACTGGTTATTGCCCTTTCAAGCTGCTATGATATGCTCGTCAAAAGATTTTCCAGTACAATAGTTTACTATTGAAAAAACTATTTTATTTGTTTCTGAATTTTCATATTCTGATTAGCTTATGGATACGGTCTACTGCATAGAATAGTGCAATGGGTGAACTAACTGGTAGAAAAAGAATAACGCATCTCATGATGAGAAGTTGGGGTCCAGTGCAGCGATCTTAAAGGGCTGTGAGACACCTTTTCAATGCAACATTTAGATCTGATAGAACTCTGATTTCACTTTAAACAGTTCAAAAAACTGTTAGAAGGTTTGAAAATACCGGCATTATTAGTGATCTACCTAGATCAAACGGACCAAGGTCAGTAAGTGGTAAAGATAAATCATTAGATGTTTTGTTAACATTCACTACCGATACACATATAATTCATTCCATTCGTAGAGCCATTCAAGAGCACGAAATAAGTAAATCATCTGTTCATAACGTACTACTGCAAGCGAATTTCCATCCATTCAAAGTAATACTGATACACAAGCTAAACGAAGATGATTTCGATCGTCGCGTTGAATTTTGTGATGATATGATGGCTCGCATAGTTCAAAGTCCCAACTTTCTATCTAATACAGTATTTTCAGATGAAGCTACATTTCAACTTGACGCAAGTTTGAATAAGCATTATTGTAGATACTGGGCATCTGAAAATCCTCATTGGAAAAGAAAAGGTAAATCACAATATCCACAAATATTAAATGTCTGACTAGAGTACTAAATAATCGAATTATAGGGCCATTTTTTATTTATGGTAACTTAAATGCTCAAAACTATGAAGCTATGCTGGGGAATCAAATAGTTCTTGCAATAAGAGGAATAATTAAAGAAAACTTTAATGATACATGGTATCAACAGGATGACGCAGCAGTTCATTATGCACGAATTGTTTGCGGTTACTTACAATTAGATGCAGTATTTACTAATCGATGGGTAGGATGAAGAGGCACCATTGAATGGCCAGCTAGGTTACCTGATTTAACGCCCCTTGACTACTTGTATTGGGAATATTTGAAAGATCGAGTATACAAAACAAAATCCAACCCCAAAATTTGGATGAATTACAGCAAAGGATCGTTGGTGAATCAGCTCTTATTCCTTCTCAAAATTATCAGGAATGCTGGTGGTGCTTTTTACCATCGATTAAAATACTGTCAAGAAGTAAGTAGATAATAAAACACCCCAAAGGAAACAGAAATTACTACGCCCACGCCGTTGTTCCTGGGTTGTTTGGGTATTTCAAGACTTTTTTGATACCGTCTATAGAAAATTTCATTAAATCATTTTATAAATACTTGCTTTTCTTTAACTAACTCTTCATGTTTGTGTTGTTTCAAACAGCGCATTTTTCAGTTAACGTACTTCCGGATATAATCTATAGTTGAAATTGTGTACAGTTACTAGGCTTGGATATCACCCGAGTCTAGTAACTACAATTTATTACAGTATTACGATATCAATATTCCATTATAATTTTTATAAATCCTATCCGGGGTGTTCAAAGGATGAAAGTAGTTATATAGAAGTTTCCCCTTTTTTTCTTATCTTTTTGTCTGAAAAAAAAAATAGAAAAACAATATCAAAATTTAATCAATTTTGTACAGTTACTAAAATTAGATAACACAATATTTAATTGTTACTTTTGCAAAATAACCCAATCCCCTTGTAAAAGAAGCCTAAGGGTTGAAATTAGTGATGGGAAAATAAAATTTTATTATTTTTAAATTGAAATCATCCTTGTATATTTAGCCATACTTACTGAGTATAACTAAAAAGTAAAAATAAAATTTAAAAAATCTTTTAATAAAATTACTTTTTTGGTAGAAATCGTACTAAAAATAAAATAATTTTTTCAGAACATTTTGTATTAATGTATGGTTGCAAGCAAAACAAGGCTGCGAAACTTACTAACATTTATTATTTACTGATATGAATAGTGTGAGTTTATATATAACTTGATATCAATATTTAATTGTTGAAGAATTTGACAAGTGTTTATAATTATGCACACTGTAACGGGGAAGGTTATTTGAAAAAATGAGAAATTTATTTAAGTACAAACTCCCACGATGCAGAGCTAACCGCCGCTCCGTTCAATACGTGTAGTTGTACATGTATTCGTCTTTACGTCAGATGATTTCGTTTAAGTGTCTTCTTTCCAACGGAGTTGAACTCACCTTAAGTCACGTGACTTGTGACACTCGATGTATCTTAGGTGTGAGCGAGTTTACGCCTAACCCGTTTAATCCCCTAGATGAAATCGGATTAAAACCTAAGCTTTTACAAATCGTTTAAGCTAATGGGAAATTAAATAACGTAATCGGCGAATGAAATTAACTAACTTTAATTAGTAAAAAAACTACAGTCTTTTATGGGCCGAAAGACTAACGCACGCGAACAGGATTTACAATGAATTATTATTCGGTGAGAAAGAGAGAGAGAGAGAGAGAGAAGATTCGAAATTTACCGCGAAACTAACGCTCGGCGCAAATATAAAAAAAGATTGATATCACGGTCGACGAAATACCTAATGTATTTTGTCACGCAATAATAACGGAAGGTGCACCTTCCCTGCGGTGCAATTACGGTGATCAGCCGTAATTATTGATGAGGAAAATCAACCCACTTAATCAGCTGCGCTGCCTCGCTCTCCTATCGGCTGAAATTTACCCGTTGCACTCTCGCACTTAAGATTGTTCCAAAAAATCTTGATAATTAGCGAAACACTGTGCAAACTAAATTCGGCGGTATTGTCGCGTAAACAGCTGAGGCGTAACTACTTAATTTAAATGCTCGCGCGCCCCCTCTCTCTGTTAATTGCTTGAACTAACGCGCGAGTTACAGAATCGCGAACGGATCGATTAATTGAATCGACTACCGTTGCAACACCTTGCATTTCTTGTAATCGTATATCATTTAACGAATAAATATTCATTAAGGCGCGTGTGTAAAATAAAAAGCGACCACGAGGGAAAATCGTAAGCGTGTACGTGAGAGAGAGGCCGGTCGAAAATTCGAGGGCGCACGTAGAAGCACGCGGGAGTCTTGAAAGGGAGAGCGACACGTGACCATTCGGAATGATTAGTATCACTTCGACTGCCAAGTTAAAAGGAAAAAAACACGAGTCTTTGCCTTTTTTGTTTTCTCTCTTTCTTGTCATTTGTCTTTTTATCACTTGTTTTCTGAAGCAACTCAGTTCGCGAATGGTAGAGTCAGTGAGAGTAACTGGTGACTGGTCAACTGATTGTCCAAAATTCACGAAGCGTTTTACTGAGTAGAACTGAGAATGGTCATGATTGTATATTAAAAATATTTATTATCAGATGCTTCCAACTGAGTTCACAAAAAAATATAGGCTGTTTTTGTTTTCAAATTTAAATGTAACTTTTTTTCAGCATCTCTATCCATTGAAACAAATATCAAATGTATTTTGCCATTTGACATGTTCAATGATATTAAAGTGTTTCATGATTGTTAACCACAACAAAATTTTGATAAAACTTTTAGTACAATAGTGTCTATCCGTTAGTCTTGTTAAAATTAGTTATCCACTTCATGTATATATTTAATATATAATATGAATTTATGTATATATAAATGCAAATTTCATAAATATAGTATTCAGAAAATGAATAAAATATACACGCTTTTTTTCAGAAGAAGATGAATCACAAATATTCGTCAAGTTTTTCAAATTTCATAAGTGCTATGATCTTATACCTACAAGTGCTAAATTAGTAGTTTTTGATACTCATCTACTTGTCAAGAAAGCTTTTTTCGCCCTTGTTTATAATGGTGAGTACATAAAAGTATTTTAAGTGGAAAACATTAATAATATAGTTTTTTCGTGTTACACTTTTCAAAGAATATGTCATAACATAAAATATGATAAAAAAATCAAAACTTAACAAATTATAAAATAAAATAAAAGGAGCACTTCTGTTCTTTACAAAAAAAAATTTGCATTAGTAACTGTAAACTTTTTGCAGATCCATTTTATTAAAAGTTGTTTATGATTAAACAGAGGTTTAATTTTTGACATGTTGGATATAAAGCACCATATGTTTTAAAAAGATTTGGTTTGTCAGGTACAACTGTAAATTATTGTCAATTTCTAAAGTTCTATTAAAATAATAATATTCCATGAAGTCTTCTGCAAGTTAATGACAGCACTGGGCTGAAATTGTAATGTAAAGCAAGTTTAGATACGGGGTATACAAATATCTGATTATGGTTTCGTTTTCATTTCTGTTGTACGTCATAAAAAGGGAAAGTTAATTTTACTATGGATTTTATCCGCGACCCTATTTACCAATCGTTTACGCGGAAATTTGAGATGCGAAATCGCTCCGACTACTTAACAACCTGTCGGCTGTAACATTCCGCGTAAAAAAATTTTGAACAGGGAAAGAGAGGATGCAACGTAAAAGATGACGTGGACTAATAAATTAAACAAATTTTATTGCCGATCTAATTATAAAGGAAGAGAAGAAATGAAAAAAATATATAAAATACAAAGAAAAAAAAACAAAATTCATATCTTGGCAATACTATACCTGTAACAACGATTGGACAAGGTAGCATCCTCGCAAAGGCGCTCAACCTTTGTGGGCTGTCGCTCATGCTTGCTCATGCAACGGTGTGCGTCTTTTACTAATTTCAAAGATCCTAAGTTGCTCAGCCGTCGCTTACACAGTTCAGTCACAGTTATATATATATATATATATTTTATTTACAACTTATGATACATTTGTTTTTTTTATTTCTTACATTACTATTTGTGTCTCGTGTCCAGTTTGTGTTTGTGTAGTTGATGATGTATGTGTTTTGTGTGTGTATGTATGTAGGTGTGTCTGCAACTTTTGTGTCTCTGTCTTCTGCGCCTGTCTGTTCCTCTTTTCTTCCCATTTTTCTGTTGATTAATCTTCTCTTCCTCTCTCTCTTTCCAAGATCTGCCTTTTCCGCTCTTCTGTTTTTCTCTTTCTTGCATATTTTCTTTTCAACTTTTTCCTTTATTACTTTCTTTTGCCTTTTCATCTTTGCCTTTCCTTTGCTTTTGTTCTCATTCTTGCTAATCATTTCATCTATCTTTCTCCTTATTAGGGCTTTGACACCTTTTTCATATTTCCTATTGCTCCCTCTGCCTTTCCTTTCCTCAACCTCACTTATTTTTCCTTAGTGTGTTATAATTTGTCTTCTAATTTACCTTTTTCTTTCTCTTCTTCGATTCTTCTTCTTTTCCATTTTGCTCCATCCTCCAATACCTACTTCCTCTCGCTTGTGTAGTTGCTAGTACTTGTGTTTTGTGTGTGTGTGCCTATGTGTATGTGTATGTGTATGTTTGCGTGTGTGTGTTTTGTGTGTATGTTTGCATATGTAGATGTGTCTGCGAGTCTTGCGTCTCTGTCTTCTGTTTCCTTCTGTCCTTAGAATCTTAAAATTTCGTCTTCTTGTTTTTCTTTTTCTTTCTCCTCTTCGTTTCTTCTTCTTTTCCATTGTAGGTCCATCATCCACGCTATCTTTTCTTTGCTTCGTATTATTATTTTTCCCCATTCTTCCCCTTCCTTTCTGCTTTTTTCACATTTTTCTACTATGTGTTTCCAATTTTCTTCCTCTTTCATATACATTCTGCATCTCTTATTTTCTTCTTTTTCCCAATACGTGCTTCCTCTCGTTTCATTACCTAACCAACACCTTTCCCTTATTTGTAGGCCTTTTATTCTTCCCTCTCCTTGAATTTCCTTTAACCTATACCTTTTCATTTCTTCTTTCAGTTCTTTCCACTCATTATGTATCTTGATTTTTCTAGTTTTTCTTCTAGTTCTTTTTCTTCTTTTTTCTTTAGCTCATCTCTTATTTCTTCCCAAAACTCTTTCCTCATTTCATCTCCCTCTTTCCTCTCTCCCCTCCTTCTTACCCTTTTTATCTTTTTCATTTCTTTCCCTTTGCTTTAATTCTCTCCATGCTTCTTTTTTTATTGAGCCATCTCTTTCTTCTCTTATTTTGTTTTCATACCTCATTGCTCTTTCTAATGCTGTTTCTTTCATTTCTTGTCTTCCTGTTTCCCATCGTATTAAGTAACTTGGCGCGTTTCTATCTAATCCTAATACCCACTTTATGTATTTTAGTTGTAGTCTTTCTATTTCGTCATATCTCTTCCATCCCCAGATTTCTGCTCCATACATAATCACGCTTTTCGCCAGTGCATCGAACAGGTTCATCCTTAGCTCCCAATTTTCTCTAAATAGCTTTTCTCCTAGCCCCCATAGTCTTCCGAGTCCCATATTTATTTTCCCTTCTACCTTCTTTATCTGCTTTTTATTTCCGTTATTTCTGCTTATCACATATCCCAAGTAGTTGTACTCTTTAACCTTCTCTATCTTCTCACCTTCCCATTGGAATTCTTCTTCCTTCCCCCTTCCTCCTCCTATCCTGCATTTCATTATCTTTGATTTTCCTACATTTAACTCTAATCCTCTTTCTTCCAGGTATCTTTTTAATTTTTTTCAGCATTGCTCTCATTCCACTTTCACTCTTTGCCATCATCACTATATCATCTGCATATCCTAATGTCCATATTTTCTTCCTTCCTATCACTACCCCTCCTTCCTGCACCTGCTTGATCTTCACTTCCAGGTCGGCGAAAGCAAGATTAAATAGCGTGGTTCTCAAAGGGCACCCTTGCCTTACGCCTCTGTAAGTCTCAAACTCCCCAATTATTTCTCCTCCAACTTTTACCTTACTCGCTGTTTTCTTGTATATTTCTTCTATTCTTTTCCCAATTTTACTATTTATCCCTTTCTCTTTCATTGTTTCCCATATTTTCTTCCTCTTTATTTTATCAAAAGCGGCCTTCATGTCTGCAAAGAATACGAACAGTTTCCCTCCTTTTTCCCTTATTTCCTTCCCTATTATTGTTTTTAATATAAATATCGCGTCCATTGTTCCTCTTTTCTTCCTAAATCCCATCTGCGTATCACTTAGCGTTTCGTTAGCTTCTAGTTCTCTTTCCAGCTTTTTTCTCAGTATTTCCGCATATATTTTATATCCCGTATCCATCAGCGTTATTCCTCTATAGTTTCCTACTTCTTCTTTCCTCCCTTTCTTATATATTGGTACTATTATTCCCTTCCTACATTTTTCCGGATATCCTTCTCCGTTCCATATTCCATTTAAGCATTTTGTCATATCTTTTATCAAGCCTTCCGTGCCTTCCATCCACGCTTCATTTCCTATACCATCTTCTCCTGTCGCCTTTTTCTTTTTCATTTTTCTTATTACCTCTTTTACTTCTCTTTCTTTAATTTCTTCACCTTCCTCTCCTTCGCTGTCTTCGGTTTCTTCCCCTTTACTTTCTTCCTGTTCTTTCTCTCCCAATTGTTCCTTGAAGTGCTTTATCCATTCTTCTTTTCCTATATTTTCATCTAATCCAATTCTTTTCTTCCTATTGCCATTCTCTTTATCCCAGAATTTTCTTCTCGTCTTATCTGTTCTTATTTCTTCTGCCACTCTTTTCCCTTCATCTTCTTTTGCTTTTCTTATTTCCTCTCTGTATTTTCTCTTTGCTTCTAGGTATTTGCCTCTGTCTCCTTCCCCTTTTCTTACCTTATTTAACTCTGCCATCACCCTAGCCCTTTTTATCTTACATTCTTTTCTCCACCAGTTTTTTTTCGATCCTTTTTTTTCTTATCTTTTTTTTACAACGGCGTTCTTCACTCTTTTTTTATTGCTTTCCATTTTTCTGTTCCCTCTATTGCGTCTATCCGTCTCTGATACTCCCTTATACCTTCTTCGCTCCAGTCGTCTATCATTCTTTCTTCTTCTATTCTTTCTTCTACTATTTTATCTCCCAATTCGACTCCTACTGGTAAGTGGTCCGACTATACCCTTTCTTTTATTTGTACCCTTTTTATCGCCTCATCACCTTGCTCGTTACCTACTACATAATCTATCTTTGACATTCCTGTCGCACCTATATATGTTATTTCTCCTTCTTCAATTCCTTCTTTTCTCCCATTCATTATCACTAAACCCATTTCTCCTAACCATTTTATCATTATCCCTCTGCGTTTAACACTTTATCCTTGGCCTTTATTTCTTCTAGGTTTCTTTCTGTCTCCCATTCTCTCCCTTCATTTCCTGTTCTTGCGTTAAAGTCTCCTCCTATAATTATTGTTTTTCCTCTGTTCTCCTCTATCTCTTCGCTTAGGTATCCATAGTTTTCCTTCTTCTCATGTTGCATATCATACACCGATGCTATCATGTATTCCCTCCCTCCGATCTTTATTTTTCCTACTATTACCTCACTTGTCCTTTCTTTCTTCCATTCAACCTTACTCATCCCTTTCCTCTCTCTTCCCGCCATTATTCCTCCCCCTATTTCTCCCCCTTCTTCCTTCCCTTCTTGAGTCTGTCCACTCTATGTTATATCCTTTCAGTTTCTTCTCCACCCCAATTTTTGCCCCTTGCTTCCTCACCCAGGTTTCTTCCAGTCGTCTTCCTCCATGCTCCTAATCCCCGCCAAGCTCCAGGATACTTTTCTTTTTTTCCTTTATTTTTCTCTCTCTGCTTTTTCCTGCTCTTCTCCAATCCGTCTCTCTCTACTCCATTTCTCTTCCGCCTCCACGCTCTTTTCACCTCTATCTCTCTACTTAAACACTTTTCCTCACAAACTTTCTCACCAAAACTCGCACTTACAGTCAAGACACATCTACTCCCTTCCACGAGTCGAAACTCTCCCCAATATTGATATAAATATAAATTTTCAATCTATCCTTAGTTATTCATACTATTTG